CCAGAGTTGAACTTCAGCAGCCATTTTCAAGACCATTCCTCCAGTTTATCCAGGTCATCCTGTAGTCTCTGCCTATCTTCATCCGTCTTGATTCTTCTCATAATTTTTGCATCATCAGCAAACATCGAGAGGAATGAGTCTATACCCTCTGGAAGATCGTGTGTGTGTGTGTGTGTGTGTGTGTGTGTGTGTGTGTGTGTGTGTGTGTGTGTGTGTTAGCACTATATTAGGTTCATGGGAACACACTGTAGGCAGGAAGTGGAAAGCGTGCGAGCTTAAGGCACGTGTGTGCCTGGTGTTCGTGCGTGCGTGCGTGCGTGCGTGCGTGCGTGCCTGGTGTGCGTGCATGCCTGGGGTGTGTGCGTGCGTGCCTGGTGTGCTTGCGTGCGAGCCGACCAAAATTACGTAGGCAAGTCACCAACCTCGTGCTCCACCCTATAGATGATCGTGTGAATATATTGTGTGTTGGTTCTATAGTCACTCCTCGAGTGTCACTCCTGGAGTGTCACTCCCTGCAGCTGAGGGGGGAGAGGGACACCTTCCCTAGAGGGGTAGAAATAGCCTAAGCTACTCTGTCCCTTGGAGATGTATTTCTTTCTTGTCTCAATAAACATACTTGAACTTCAACTTGATACCTTCCCACAGCCTGTGTCACCCCCTACACTTGTAAGACGCATCTCCCAGAGCCCATGAAGTGTCGTACACTCGCACCGAGGCAAAAGGGTACATGTGTTACGTCACAACACAGGACCGTCACAACACAGGACCGTCACAACACAGGAGCATGATGGCAGACTGCTGACCAGCCGTCTTGGTATGAACTAACCCATCCTGTGTGACGGGGGATCTTTTAGCACCACGTAAACATCACAATTCTTGACACACACACTTCATATAGTGTAGGGCAGCTGTACAAATACACCCATCCGTAACGCTATACGTGTTAGTGGCTTTATATTATTTATACATTATATATACAAGATTATACAAGAATGTATAATCAATACTATGTACTCTCATAAACCCAATGTACCTTCTTGTATATAAATAAATAGATAAATGCAGCTGTACCGAAATATGTTAATTAAAAACAAAATTAGGTTCGGTCATATACTGGTGGCAGGTGTTACAGGAGGAATCATAAATTAATAGCAGGTATTACACTGATTGTTATTATCAGTTAAAAACATAATGTGTTACATTTCCTTGGTCGATGTTAGAGTGGCCTGGTGGATCACCACGAGGCTTGGGAGATCACCACGTGGCTTGGGAGATCACCACGAGGCTTGGGAGATCACCACGTGGCTTGGGAGATCACCACGTGGCTTGGTGGATCACCACGTGGCCTGGGAGATCACCACGTGGCTTGGGGGATCACCACGTGGCTTGGGGGATCACCACGTGGCTTGGGAGATCACCACGTGGCCTGGTGGATCACCACGTGGCTAAAGGTTTGTTTCATCATTTTCAGAGGGCAGGTTGGAGCCAAACAAAGATGTTTATTTTCTTGTCTGTTACGTGACAGATGCGGCAGAAAGTGATTTAAACGCCGCGTGGAATAGTGAGCATGAGACAGGTGAGAGCCCTTCCGTTAACTAGAGGCGGGCCCCACAACCGCACCCAACCCCCCCATGCCCAAGAGTCACACGGGCCTGCCAGCTCTACCCTCCCCACCTGTCAAGTCGAGCGAGCAACAAACTGTACTCTGGTAAATCCTTCTTGCAGGAGGAGATTGACGGCGGGCAGGAGCTCCGGGCAGTCACTTGTACGGTCCATACCGTATTGTGGACTCTGGAGGGCCACACGTTTTCTCCACTGTCAGAGAATGTTGATATCATTGGGTGAGCGGTAGTTTATTGTGCACCCCATACTCGTCCTGTGGGTGGTAGTTTATTGTGCACCCCATACTCCTGTGAGCGGTAGTTTATTGTGCACCTCATACTCCTGTGAGCGGTAGTTTATTGTGCACCCCATACTCCTGTGAGCGGTAGTTTATTGTGCACCCCATACTCCTGTGAGCGGTAGTTTATTGTGCACCTCATACTCGTCCTGTGGGTGGTAGTTTATTGTGCACCCCATACTCATCCTGTGGGTGGTAGTTTATTGTGTACCCCATACTCCTCCTGTGAGCGGTAGTTTATTGTGCACCCCATACTCCTCCTGTGAGCGGTAGTTTATTGTGCACCCCATACTCATCCTGTGGGTGGTAGTTTATTGTGCACCCCATACTCATCCTGTGGGTGGTAGTTTATTGTGTACCCCATACTCCTCCTGTGAGCGGTAGTTTATTGTGCACCCCATACTCCTCCTGTGAGCGGTAGTTTATTGTGCACCCCATACTCATCCTGTGGGTGGTAGTTTATTGTGTACCCCATACTCCTCCTGTGAGCGGTAGTTTATTGTGCACCCCATACTCCTCCTGTGAGCGGTAGTTTATTGTGCACCCCATACTCATCCTGTGAGCGGTAGTTTATTGTGCACCCCATACTCGTCCTGTGGGTGGTAGTTTATTGTGCCCCCCATACTCCTCCTGTGAGCGGTAGTTTATTGTGCCCCCCATACTCCTCCTGTGAGCGGTAGTTTATTGTGCCCCCCATACTCCTCCTGTGAGCGGTAGTTTATTGTGCACCCCATACTCATCCTGTGAGCGGTAGTTTATTGTGCACCCCATACTCGTCCTGTGGGTGGTAGTTTATTGTGCCCCCCATACTCCTCCTGTGAGCGGTAGTTTATTGTGCCCCCCATACTTCTCCTGTGAGTGGTAGTTTATTGTGCCCCCCATACTCATCCTGTGAGCGGTAGTTTATTGTGCACACCATACTCCTCCTGTGAGCGGTAGTTTATTGTGCCCCCCATACTCCTCCTGTGAGTGGTAGTTTATTGTGCACCCCATACTCCTCCTGTGAGCTGTAGTTTATTGTGCACCCCATACTCCTCCTGTGAGCTGTAGTTTATTGTGCACCCCATACTCCTCCTGAGAGCGGTAGTTTATTGTGCATCAATAACCTCATTTTATCTTTTGTTAACCTTTTCTTTTTTATCTTTTAACCTCTAGTTTTGTCCTTTATTTCTTGTTTTTCCTTTTGTTAATTGTTTATAATTAAACTTCGTACGTCGAGCATATTTCCACGCTTTTTTATGGACTCAAATTAGCCTTGTTTAACACATGTCGGCGGCCGTACATACAAGAAAATTAAAAAGGCAGGAAAATATTTGTGTCAGCCATAAATTACTAGCAACTCCGTTTTCTTTCGTGGCCCAAATTGGCGGGTTAACCTTTTAAGCGTAAACCAAATTATCTTTGTATTTTTTGTTTGTGTATTTACCCGAGGCCCATTATCTATCTAGTGACCTCGACGGGGACAGGAAGACGGCGGATTGTCAAAGGTCTCTCCATTTTTTTTTCCTGAGAATTGCTTCCTGCTGGATTTTGAACTGCAGAAATATCTTGTCATTTACGACTTCAGCGTCCTTATTTACGTACTTCAGCGTTTCCTCTTAAGGTTTCAGAACGTCAAGAAAATGGTTAATTTAAAGTGTCATCTCCTAACCTACCAGACGACCGCCACAAAAAAACGGAACAGTACGTCACTTTCGCGAGCCGCTTCCAGTTTCTAGTACGACAATTTTTGGGCCTTATGTAACGCATACGAGCGAAAAGCGACGTTCTTTGTAAGAGGACAAGGTTGTAGGACAGGTTGTAGGAGGACAGGTTGAAGGAGGATAGAATGTAAGAGGACATGTTGTAGGAGGACAGGTTGAAGTAGGATAGAATGTAAGAGGACAGGTTGAGTCCTGTCCTCAATTTTTTTTTTTGTTTGAGGTTGTAGGAAGACAGGTTGAAGGATGATAGAATGTAAGAAGACATGTTGTAAGAGGACGTGTTGTAAGAGGACGTGTTGTAAGAGGACAAGTTGTAAGAGGACAGGTTGAGTCCTGTCCTCAAATTTTTTTTTTTTTTTTTTTTTTGAGGTTGTAGGAAGACAGGTTGAAGGATGATAGAATGTAAGAGGACAGGTCGAGTCCTGTCCTCAAAATTTTTTTTTTTTTTTTGGAGGTTGTAGGATGATAGGTTGTAGGGGGGACAGGTTGACAAAACACTTCCGGAACAAATGCTTCACTGACGAATTTTGTTTATCCAACACTTTCACATCTACCTTCCTAAATACTCTACTACCAACACTTCAGAAAAATGTATACGGGTTTAACATTCAAAGTGTCCACGTTCACGCGAAAACAAAATCTACACAATACTCCTGTTGAGACTAATGCTTCATTCAAATTTCAACCAGCATCTATTCATGTTTATCCATACCAGACCTACGGGCTCACCATAGCCCGTGCTACTTGGAACCTTGTTCCAGGTAGCGAATCTTTAACAACATCCATACCAGAGCCTTCATTGTTCAGAGCACTTTCCTCACTGACCTTACTCTCACCTTTTATAGAGCTAATTTTAAAAAAATTCGCAAACTTAAAAGTATTTTTTTTATCGGCCTAAAAAAATTAGAGTATAATAAAGCCATTTGTAATTTTTTTCTAAGTACAGTAGTATCAATTATCAGACGTCAAGCCGGGAACTTTGTAATGAAAGTCTATTATAATACTCAATTGGAATCTCAATAACACAAAATGTAATAAGTCTTGCCTTGACTCGTTCATCCAGAACTGATGATGACAGAGATTCTCTGAAATTGTTTCGCTGCATCTAATGAATACCTTAAGTCAGTGTGTTCCTTCTGAATAACTACAAGTAAATATTTTTTTTGAGAATTGAAACAAATCAAATCTCTGGAGGAATATGAAGGCACACGCTGAATAGGACCAACCAGCACGCTCACTTTACCTTAACATCTATCAAAACAAAGCCACTAAGAAAAGAACCTCTTTCTCTATTGTCACCAAAAATTATATTGATATTTCGCAACATACATCAAATGCAATATTATAAGTGGCACCAATGCTATTTATAAAGTTGGGTTGATACAAACTCGTTAATATGTAACTTTATTTAAATGATAAGAGACCAGCTTATTGCAATTCATATGCAATGATTAACATATTGAATTGAACTAAAATACGCAGCTTTGAAAATTGACAATGTAAGACAAGTTTTTAACAATTGGATGCCATTTATGGCTGACAGTTATTTTCCTGCCAGTATGGACGCCGACCTGTGTCAGACATGGCTAACTTTAATGTATAAACTGAAATATGACAAATTCGTTAATTTTTGGTTATAAAAATAGCAAAACCAAATTTGGATTAAAAATTAATGTATGATTCCGCACAGTTAACTACAGTAAGAAAGAATAATATCAAATATTCAGATAAAAAAAAATTACTCAAGAACTAAAGTCATTAATTGTAAAAATTAAAACGTTAACTTTTGAAAAAACTTTGAAAACTAAAAACATTCCCTTGTATAAAGAGCATAAATATTTTATGGCATTTTTTTTTGGGGGGGGGGAGGGGGAGAGAAAATAGTGTACACTAAAAACTTATATTTTAAAAGCTGGAGAGAGAAACAAACTCAAATTTCGAATACAGTACTAGTGTAACAGTTCACTCAATGATATCATCATTCTCTGGCAGTGGAGAGAGCCTCCAGAGTCCACAATACGATATGAAGTGCAGTCATGCAAGTGACTGCCTAGGGCTGCTGCTCAGCATCGTTCTCCTCCTGCAAGAAGGATTTACCAGAGTACAGTTTGCGCTTGTTGCTTGACTTGACAGGTGGGGAGGGTAGAGCTGGCAGGCCCGCGTGACTCTTGGGCATGGGTTGGGTGCGGTTGTGGGCCCGACTCTTTCTAACGGAAGGGCTCTCACCTGTCTCATGCTCACTACTGCACGCGGAGTTTAAATCACCTTCTGCCGCACCTGTCACGTAACAAACAAGAAAAGCAGCTGACATACCCTAAAATGCCAAGTATGCACAGAGACACTATATAATGCCACTGATAATATAATCGACATCATGTATTGCCCGGCCTACCTGCTGGCTCAGACCCAGTATGAAGTGAGAAAGAATGTACAGGTGACGAGATGGGCGTTGGGGTTGGGGTAGCAGTGGCTGCCGTAGCAACGCCTCTCACTACACTGAGAAGTTGCTGGTGCTTCAGGGTCTCCCGGGCTTTTCGCAGCTCCTCCTTCAGCTGCGCCAGACGAGAATCACGTTCAACCAGCTGTTCCTCGAACTCAGCCCTCGTCGCTTGTAACTTCTGTTAATGACAATATTCTACATAAGCTAGGATGACAAACTACCTGCTACTTCCTAGCAATAATCGCATCAGGCTATTCATGAATTCCCCAGTGAAGTATGCCATCAGATTGGGTGATGACCTTAAGTCGTGTTTTGGAACAAATAACAGTTAACTTGATTGTCCATCTCGAGCCCCTACCATTCCACCGTACAAGAACGTCATACAGTTCTTTATTGTGTTAGCAATATTGTAAAAGAAAATTCTTTTACAACTCGCCACTAAGTGAATATTGATGCCAAATTTACAGCATTTTAAAACTGTGCAATACAGTCAGTTTACAAAGCATAATGAAGATGTTAATCTCACCACAAATAGTGCTTCTAATTTTTTGCATAACAATCAAGTACTAATGTGACATATTGCGCTGCTGTAGTAAAAGTATAACTCGAAAAGTAACTAAGAAAACTAAATTAAGTTATTGTGTAAATTTACTTCACGTAGATATTGTAGACTAAAATTGTTATTCCTTGATCAAGCAACACAATATATACATGAATCAATTTTGAAACTAATACAATCCATCAGTGCACTTTACATCACTGCACATAGTAGCTAGTGAGATAAATTCCCAGATTATATTGGTAAACATTGATAGAAAAATACATGACGAGATTTGTAATGCTCACCAGTTTATACCAAATACATAAACTTTAAGACACGTCTACTTTCTATTATACGCACATTGTAGATTACTGTTGTGATACCTCGGTGAATGTAGAAGACGTACACTCGAAGGTGAAGGAACGACGACGTTTCTCAATCTCAAATTGCCGTTCTCAATCAAGTCGACCATTCTCAAGTCGATTCTCAATCAACTTGAGAATGGGACGGACCGAAACGTCGCCATCCCTTCACCTTCTAGTGTGTGGTCTGATCAACATACTTTAGCCACGTTATTGTGACTCGTCGCCTGTACGTAGAAGACGTACTTAATGACTTGCCCACAAAAGAAAATGAAACAAAAATACTCTAGCAGAAACTTACAAAGAAGTGTGGGTAATATGGGCGTGTGGGTGCTAACAGTGTTTATATGGAGGTGAATATGAGGGAAGTTGTGACATTAGTAGCAGTGGTGGCGTAAGTGAAGGCAGTGATCGTATTCTTTGGTGGTTGTGTGGACAGTGAGGTGGTGGTGGCGGTGGTGAGAGCAGCAACTGTAATGTATAATATAGTGTAATCTGTGTAGGTTGGTAATGTTAGCAGAGGAGGCGTTAGATGCTCACGTTTGCAAAGAGGTCCATGTTGGAGGTGGCACGGGCCGAGAGGTTGAGCTGCAGCTGTGCCAGGCGACCACGCAGCTGTTCCTCCTCATTGTGGTGCTGAAGGTTGAGTGTGGGAGAGAAATAAGGAAACACTAGCATTACTAAGCAACTCAGCACTCATTCAATATGAGTGCGATAATTGTAGTTGTAGAAAATACAGGCAATGTTTTATTCTTAATTCACTTTTGTTTACCTGTCACATATTTGATATTGCAATATGTAATCTTTGTTGACTAAACCACACACTAGAAAGTGAAGGGACGACGACGTTTCGGTCCGTCCTGGACCATTCTCAAGTCGATTGTGCGTCCATCCTGGACCATTCACAATCGACTTGAGAATGGTCCAGGACGGACTGAAACGTCGTCCCTTCACTTTCTAGTGTGTGGTTTGGTCAACATATTTCAACCACGTTATTGTGACTCCTCGTCTGCATGTACTCTTTGCGATGTGATCATATATTCAATATGGCCTGTTCAAATTTATAATATCGACAAGAACGTGAAAAAACAAGGTGGGCATAAACGCACAAAACATTTTGTCTTAGAATGATTTGAGGAACCACACAAGGGATAAAAAACACCTTACATCTACATTTCGAGGTTCCATGACCGAATATCCAACCCTTACTGCTGAAGGGCATAGAAGGGCTGTATGCCAGAACGGAACCTCTGGCACCAGCAACAATTACCGAAGAGGGGAGGGTCCAACTATCAAAACTCTTCTTGGCAACCTTAAGGGAATAAGGAGGACGATCGCGAGGGGTCTATTGAACGTGTCAATGTCGAGGAGAAGATAACTTTAGGCCTCGAGGATATACTTACTATCCTCATAGGAGTCCTTAAGTTCCCTATCCCCTACCTCAACATGGGGAGAAGGATTGTGCTGATGCTGCCATTCAATAAGACATTCTTGAAGCCCTGAATTGGGGCCTCACTATTGTGAGACAGGGCAGCCAGGCAAGTAGCCACTTGCTTTCAAGGGGACCTCAAGGACGTGGATGCCAGTCCGGGTGGAATTAGACTTAACTGGAAACCTCACAGTCTGGTGAGGTGAGTTAAAGTCCTCCACCTCCGTCCAGCACCCCTTTATGGTCGCCTCCTCGCCCCTCACAGCACCCCCATTCTCCCCCTTACGATACTCTTTACTCCCACCCCGCCAGAAGTCCCCAACTGTCCACCGTCTACCTACCTTAGTCCTCATTTCCATCAGTACCCGCAAATGTTCCTGGCGCTCATCTGTCAGCTCCTGCCTGGCGATCTTGAGCTGCTGTTCCTTCTCTTCCTGTGCCGCTGCCGCCGCTGCTGCCACCGCCGCCGCCACCATGTCCTTAGCTGTTCATAATACATCAATTACAACATATTAACTTAAACACTTTACTAAGATTGCTAAAATTCATCAATAAAATAGAATCAGAAGCTTAGGGAAATTTGTATAGAGGAAGACATCGCTTCAAGTTATTCAAGGGTCCAACATGAAATAATAGCCAAGTTAGAGATAAATATTTAAGCATGCAAGAGTTTACAAGTTACACTGACCCTTAATTTGCTCTTGCTGCACTGCTTCCGTCACCTTTATCGCCTCCTGCTTCAACGCCGCCTCCTGCAACTCTTTCAGTTCCTTGCTGTGGATCTGATAAAGCAGTCCTTGTTATATTGTTCTATATTAGCCACCCTAGTTATATTAACCCCCCTACACACACACACACACACACACACACACACACACACACACACACACACACACACACACACACACACACACACACACAGATAAAATCGACAGGGAAGACTTCCTGAGACCTGGAACTTCAAGAACAAGAGGCCATAGATTTAAACTAGCTAAACACAGATGCCGAAGAAATATAAGAAAATTCACCTTCGCAAATAGAGTGGTAGACGGTTGGAACAAGTTAAGTGAGAAGGTGGTGGAGGCCAAGACCGTCAGTAGTTTCAAAGCGTTATATGACAAAGAGTGCTGGGAAGACGGGACACCACGAGCGTAGCTCTCATCCTGTAACTACACTTAGGTAATTACACACACACACATACACACACACACACATACACATACATACACACAAATGTCATGATAACTTTAAACATAATAAGCACTCAACACACACATTAACCCTAAAATAGAAGAACACCAATAATCCCAGAGACTATATTTTTGATGAATGAAAATGAAGCCTTTCATAAATCGTGCTCGAATATAAAGTAAAAATGTATTATTTCCCGTTATCGTCTCGCTAGATTACGGGCTATTCATGCCCGTGCCCCCTCTTGAGTGGCTTAATCTTTATCAATCAATCGTCTCGCTAGAGAGCGTCTCATCGCACAATATTGATAGCTTTCAGAGCATTCCGTTATGTGTTGGGCTTGCCGCTTGCGTACACATCTCAATGTTAGGCAAGGTAATTATGAGAGGAAAGCACATCTCAAATCACTTCTCCTGTTTCAGTCATTGTTTATCAAAATAAAGTACTGTTACACTTTCCTGATTTTTAAAGGTTTTGGTCTTAAGAAGACCATTAGGGGCAAGGGGAAGTTATCAGTAGCGCCAATATGATCAGAATCGTCGAACAAAAATAAAATGCACACGGAAATCACAATAAAGTGATGTATCAAATGAACGAATAGTCGATAAAGGCAGCGTCTGGGATGCTCTCAGACGTAGGTTCGAATCCTCGTCACGGCCCTTGTGGATTTGTTAAAAAAAAATGTTTCAAAATGGCTTGGACTTTTTCCACATTCATGCGGGGGAATATTAGGGAAGAGAGGTTGAAACTCCTCCTTGTGAAGACTGAGGCTGTGCGGGACACTACACAGGCACGTGCTTCGATTTGTTGTTACTGACATTCATTCATTTAGAGTAAACATTTTAGTTTTAGTGTTTACACAATAGCAATTATGATAGCAATATAATAGCAATAAACACAATAGAAATTATAACTATAGACTAAGAAAATGAGTCTCTTGCCTTAGAAGCATATAAAGTGCCAAGTTTATATCAAAGAAAAATATCAAAAGGGCCTTTTTTTAATAATCGGAGTTACTTGTGACTGAAATGATGTTCTGATCGTCCAAGAAGTATCACTGTAAATGCGATTATTTATATATCACTCTGTAATAATTGCCATTTGAACTTGAAATATATTTCTTCAAGCAAAAGCATGCTACAACTTTCCCGTACAACTTTAGTATCTAACCTGTATGGGTAGCCTAAGACTGTTACTGGTGAAATATGCTTGCAACAGGTACCACACACTAATCTGACTTCAGAAGGTCAAGACAGTGATTGGAATGATCAAGCTTATGAAAATGTCCTCAATATTCTCATTCTCTCACGTCATTCACAATGACAACTTTCAACCTATTTAATTGTTTATTTTTCGGGTTAATTACAAACACATTTTCCAGCAATGAAATGACTCAAAACACTAACCAGAAAAAGATTGCTAATATAAAATTTGAGCATGTAAGGGGAGTTTTGTACCCTAGAAAGACATACCACTTCTAGTAGCCTACTGAGGACACAATGAGCTGTTTTAGTGAGTTGACTTAAGTTACCATTCACGGGGTCTGAGGTCACTATTACAGACCGAGCGAGTAGATTAATCATAAAAAAGGCACCAAGCAAAACAGTTAAAAAAAAGTCCTAGATTTTAATTGATTGCTAGATTTAATCTAGCTTGGATATAAGCTAGAATAATCTAGCTTATATCCAATATATTTTATAAATATATTTTATTTATATTTGATTTTATTCAGAAGGAAACCAGTGTATGTGTTTACTCTCGGCATATCTGTGAGTACGGAAGCACGGCTGAACAAACGTAAAAGCCGGAATGAGTCGGAATTCAAGCTGCCATTCAATTGAACGTCAACATCATGCTTCCATCATCCGTTTTTATCTTGTGGTACAATTGCAAACAATCCTAGTGCTTCAGCCGCCATAACACAGCATCCTGGCTTTATACGTTAACTGATGTAGCTACAATGAAAGCATTTACCTGAAATGTTACGCTCTAGCTATCGCTTATGTGATGCAGCTACCATTGCGCTACTTATTAAGGCCAAAAATTATCTGCTAACCCGAACGCAATGAGTAAGGAGTATTAAGATGTTGCAAATTAAAGGTGTCATGTGCGTACAGGAGTGCAAAGCTGGAACAAACTGAGACCACAGTTAGAGTGACCAGTCAGACTATGTTACCTGCTGAGCGAGCTGCAGTTGCTGCTGAAGCTGCGCCACCTCCCCCATCAGCTGGTTCTTCTTCTCTGTGACACAATAAACAATAACCCAACCTTCACACTACACACTTCAAGTTAAAATAGTCGAACTACAACACAATCACATGAGCAGAAAAGAATGGCATTACAATTATCAATCAATATGGTTTATTTTAAAGATCAATTGTTAACTTAGATAAAAGGTGTGTTTCAGAAGATAGCCTCACAGATTAACAGTATGTCCATCAGTCAACTTCCCATGCGTCTGGGAACATTCAGTGCAAAGGTTCGAACCTTCATCAAAGAAGGCCCTTGTGAATTTATTTTCCCACTATTATCGACGTTGATAAAACGTCGATAACGTTAATTCAACACTGCCCGAGCATGGCCCACAGGGAGAGAGAACAGGAGGGATAATGGGAGAGATAATGGAAGGGAAGGAGTGAGAATGGCAAGGGAGGGAGAATGGGGGAAGAGGGTGAATGGGAGAGAGGGAGGGAGAATGTGGAAGAGGGTGAATGGAAGAGAGGGAGGGAGATAGTGATGAACTACATGTGGCACCCAAGGTACCACCGGCTGTTCCATCTGGTACAAAATACACAAAACTACACACCATCTCCTGCCAACGCCACTAAAGCAAGGGTTGCACACTTAAAAACAGCTCAAACAAAGAAAATTAAGATACTTAAATCCCAGGGATTTTCCAACACTTCCGAAACTTCGTGTTGGCTTAGCCAGGAGGAACTCAAATACATTACAAGTAGGTCACCTGACCTTATGTTACCTGATCTATTTTCCTACCTATCCCCCATCTCCCTGCTACGATGGAATATATGCGCTTTTAGTTGTAATTTTTAATAGATTTGATAAAGCCCGCCATGGACAAGCTGTTGTCTATAATGAAAGCTAGGCCTTTCATGGTATCTTTCCTCACCAGAGGGACAAAAGTAGAGATTACAACACTAATGGTACGTTTTGGACCATTCACAATCGACTTGAGAATGGTCCAGGACGGACCGAAACGTTGTCGTCCCTTCACTTTCTAGTGTGTGATTGGGTCAACATATTTCAGCCACGTTATTGTGACTCCTCGTCTGCATTACAATACTAATGTAAGATCAGCACAAATACCCCAGACAAGGTAGTTTAAAAGCTATATATATATATATATATATATATATATATATATATATATATATATATATATATATATATATATATATATATATATATATATATATATATATATATATATATATATATATATATATATATATATATATATATATATATATATATATATATATATATATATATATATATATATATATATATATATATATATATATATATATATATATATATATATATATATATATATATATATATATATATATATATATATATATATATATAAAGTTACCGATAACAACGGCGATGGCGGCGTAGTTTTGCATCAGGTCTCTAAGTCTATTATTGTAGACTTTAAGTGTGTTGTGAGCTCGGGACAGCTGGAGAGCCAGGTGGTCCCGCTCCAGCCGCACCATCTTCTCTTCCTCTCTAACACACTCCTCCTGCGACATCGCACATTCCACGCCCTAAAAGAAAAACCTTATTCTCAGACTCCTAATGTAGTCGGTATCATGAACATGTTCAAAAGTAACTGGAACTATCTGCCTCATTGGAAATGGCAATTATTGGGAAGAAGTCTTGAGAGACTTTCCTTGCTGATTATAAGGTAGCATTACTTAGAATTTGGTACAAGGTAAGAATCCCAGTCACATGGCATTCTCTCAAGTTAAAAACAATTACAATAAAGCCAAGCCTAATGTAAAAATATTTAAAATTGAAATTCCTGCGCTGTGGTTTTTACACACTATAGTGTGAAAAAAGTATCTGAAACTAATATTAGCAAGATTTTATTGCCCCTCGGGTAAATTCAGGTAAGTACATTATAATATATATATATATATATATATATATATATATATATATATATATATATATATATATATATATATATATATATATATATATATATATATATATATATATATATATATATATATATATATATATATATGACAATGTCAGACCACGGAGGAAAATTAAAACAGGAATTTCCTTAAGTACTTTCGTATATTAATACATCTTCAGAAGGATGAAGATGTAGCTTCTCCTTCTGAAGATGTATTAATATACGAAAGTACTTAAGGAAATTCGTTTCAATTTTCCTCCGTGGTCTGACATTGTCACATTTTTAATCACGTGTTTATTTTCGTGATTTACACACATATATATATATATCAATATATAGATAGACTGGGGGAGCCGGTCTGCTGAGCGGACAGCACACTGGACTTGTGATCCTGTAGTCCCGGGTTCGATCCCGGGCGCCGATGAGAAACAATGGGCAGAGTTTCTTTCAGTCTATGCCCCTGTTACCTAGCAGTAAAATAGGTACCTGGGTGTTAGTCAGCTGTCACGGGCTGCTTCCTGGGGGTGGAGGCCTGGTCGAGGACCGGACCGCATGGACATTATAAGCCCCGAAATCATCTCAAGATAAGATATATACAATATATATAAATATAATATATTTGAGAAATATTTATTATATATATTTATATGAAATATTATATATGTAATATTATATATATGTGTGAATTAAAATTGCTGCAAAAAATATAAACCAAAGCTCATACACGTACAATTATTCCTTTGAATCCACATGACAACAAATTCAAATTCAATTATTTATTCGAGTAAAATATACATACATAGAAGAACAAACATAATGTTGGATTTATAGACAGAGCAAGTAAGTACACACAATACCTAAAGCCACTAATACGCTCGGCGTTTCGGCCAAGCAAACTAATTGATAGATCTAACATTATGGCGAACTGCTGGAAAAATGTCAAAAGTTTTAAATCACACTTCGTTTAGCTGTTGATTTTGAGAAGAAATAAGGAAAAATGGCTGCGTCTCGTGGCGTTTAGTTTCATGCCAACACGTTGGAACCTTCACCAATTTGTTCAATCTATTGAAGCGACGGAAAAGACATATCAAGATAAATTTACATACCTTTCTCCACTCATTGAATTCATCTCGCAGAAGCTTCAAGTTTTCTTCAATCGTCGCAGCCATGATGAACAGAGAGGAATAAATAGGAAGGAGAAGCCACGAGCAGACACAGACACGACCGACGCTCTCGGAGCTCTGACCAGCACTGACCCTGCCCCTCCTACCTCCCCCCCCCCACCCACCCATCTCTGAAATCCATGAAATTAACATTATTATTATATATATATATATATATATATATATATATATATATATATATATATATATATATATATATATATATATATATATATATATATATATATATATATATATATATATATATATATATATATATATATATATATATGTGTGTGTGTGTGTGTGTGCAACAATGATCACAAAAACACTGATCCAAGTATGCAGAATAACCACATGTGAAAAATAGAGAATGCTGAGGCTGAATGAGGCTACCCTGTGGTGGACGTGATCGGTATATTGTCTTAGTTACATCATGAGGCTACCACCCCCATAATAAGCGTTTCTGCCTCTCCCTCAATCAAAGGGAAGGTAACAAAGATGTAATATTTTCTTATTTTTATTAATAAATATTAATAGTTAAATCATATAGGTATAATAGTATAAGTATCGACGCAAATGGAATAAAGATGCGAAAAGAAAACTACCATTCAGATGTGCCTTCGTTTCCCAAAGAGTTATTATTTTCATGGACTACAACCCAATATTACATTCGGTTATATGCAAATACTAGGGAGTTAGATGGATAATTAAATCATATTATAAATTATGTGTTATCAACTTTTGTGATTTCCCATTCGTCTTCATATCATTAGAACCGGATGAGGGAAACATCCTTGCCTCACTTGTGTATTGTTCGACTCAAGGTCACTGGATGAAAAGGAAATTTGTCTCTTATTGCAAAAATTGTTGTGTTGTTGCAACCGCAACGTCGGTGAATGCCCGGATTTCCAAAATGATTGTAAATTATGTTTGTTATCGATGAACGAATCCACAAGGGCCGTGACGAGGATTCGAACCTGCGTCCGGGAGCATCCCAGACATCATTTGTTATCGATGTCCCGAATATCAAATGAGTTACGGACATATCTCAGTAAATCGAAAAAAAAAAATCCTCAGAAATAATGGATTGAACTTGACAAGCCGAGTATTTGTATACTATAATTACACACAGCGAAATTCATTTATTAATTAGTACTATAATTACACACAGCGAAATTAATTTATTAATTAGTACTATAATTACACACAGCGTAATTCATTTATTAATTAGTACTCTAATTACACACAGCGTAATTCATTTATTAATTAGTACAGGTGGGCTCATAGTCGGGAATTCCAGGTTAGATTCCCGGACGGGACTGAAATGGTTGTGCACGTTTTCTTTCACCTCATGCCTTTGTTCCCCAACCATTAATAGGTACTCGAGAGTTATTTAAATGTTGTGAGTATGTACCCTGGGTAAGGTTAGTAGTTCTACCTATAAGGGACCTCGATATTAGCCAGACCTATATATATATATATACACACATCTGTCAAGGCTATAAAACCCGAGAGGTTTAAATCCGCTTTTTCGATGTATATACACACTGAGAGTACTTTTGTTCAGGAGTAAACTGTACTCGCTGGTATACTATTAAGCTATAATTAATAACCCGCTCTCTGCTCATAACTGCTTATTTCATTTGAAATCTCGCTCAAAACGAAGGGAAAAAGAGCTATCAGGGGGAAAACGCCAAGCCATTACGACTATATAGTACTGCCCAGTTGAGACTGGAGAAGGATACGTCGTGGAGTACAATATATCAGTTAGGTGTTAATATATATTGATCTGAAGCCTAGTTCTTCAAACAGTTAATCTTACGGCAATTGTTACGTGTATGTGTGTGTGTTTTCTGTAATTATGTGTGTATATATATATATATATATATATATATATATATATATATATATATATATATATATATATATATATATATATATATATATATATATATATATATATATATACATGTTAATTTCATGGATTTCAGAGATGTGGGGAGGGGCGGCGTCGAGTGCAGTGTTGCCAGATTGAGCTACAAATAGCGAATTGGGCTACTTTTGAGAGCCACGCGCGCCCAAATTTTTAATTTCGCTACTTGCTACTTTTTGGGCTTAAAGCAAGATGTGCTAATTTGGGCTATTAATGTTAAGAATGTACGATTGCGAGTTACATGAAAGTACCTAAGCTATAAATAATTGTAATTAATAATAATTGTAAATATTAATTAATACTAAATGTTGAAGCAGAATGTCATAAGCAAGGATGGTGTGCTGAATAAAGATGATTTATTAAGTGGATGGAGCCTTTAGCTGATCCCTTCCTGTGATTGGCTGTTGTGTGAATGTCAACAAAGAGTTTCTATCAATGATATGCCATCATTTTTTTTATTATGCACCCCATATCCTTTTGTAGGCGGAGCTTGGAACCTCCTACCCGAGCACAACAACCTACCTTATGGGTTGCTGTTTGGCTATTTATAGTGCGTTGGAAAAAAAACAGATGGCGTTAGTTGTATTTCGTGGGGTAATTTGTTATAAGTGTAATTTGATGTCAACAGATGGCGTAAGCTGTATCTTATGGCCACTGTTGACCAGCCAGTTGATAGTGTTCTCTTCTGCCGACAGATGGCATCAGCTGTGTTATTATTACTTCCGAATTCCCTTTAAACATGGGTGATGTTTATAACATAAGTTATATAACTGCTTAAACAAAGCATTATAACATGTTGAAAGTTGACTTATTGGTTTATCTGAAGCTGTGTCCTGCGGGGATGAAGCTGGCCTGATCTGCTGAAGTCTTTTTGTACTTTCAGAATAATGCCGTTTTCACTTCATTTAAATATATATATATATATATATATATATATATATATATATATATATATATATATTGTATAAGATTAATATTTGTTCTTATCGCAACTAGCATAAATTCGAAGGGTCTGTGGTTACCATCGAGTATGTACAAAACTAATTTTTTCTCTTGAGTTTGACTGGTTGAGAAAGTAGGTGGGTGAGTAGCCTAGTATCTGTCCTTAGGCAAGTTGGTCCGCTGCGGCCTCCCGCTCACCACACCAGGGGATAAGTGGCCCGTTACCCCGTAGTACAGTGACTCCACTCGTGAATCTAACTTCACAATTTCAATTTCTTTATTATGCACCCCATACCCATCCCGTGGGTAAAGGATTACAGAGGCACATAAAGAACTGAACCCTCACAAGATTGTTACTTAGCAAAATGAACTGTGACGGTCACTTCTGAACCCATTATGTGCCTCTGGGGCCCATTTCCACCACCGCCCACGGGTATGGGGTGCATAATAAATGACTACTGTACTACTCAAGACCTCTGATATCATCACCACCTAAGACGATGATGGGAAGTGTTGAATGTGATCAGCCGTGCATGGGTGAAGATAGTTCGGTGATATCGATGGCGTGATCTTCATGATTTTGGCGTGATCTTCATGATTTAGTAACTATGTTGGGGCTGTTTTAGTTTAATGATTTTATAATTGTCGTTAATGACACTGCCATAATCAATGTTATATTTACCTTTTTAGAAATATATAACTTCTCAGGAGTTATGGTTTAACATTTCCAGCACGAGAGAAGACAGTACAGTGATTCCTTATACTGGGCAAGCTCTTGTTAACACATTCACAAACGTTTAGCGAAATGGTTCACATAAATACTGATTAGTAAGTGATCCAATCTTGGAACGTACATGATAGCAGGACTTCAGTGCGATTTTGCACGTAAGTACGATTTAAAGTTATTGTATATGCAATTATGTTAAAGCTTACTGCAGTATACTATATCGTATTTTAGTTAAGTTATCTAGGGTTAGTCATTTCACAAAGTTGTCAAAATGAGTATAAATGTGACATTTTTGTTAGCGATGAGAATATATATAGTTTTATTGGTAAAGTTCATAAGTTTATGGGCAGCTTCGTGTGATGTGTCTAGAGAGCAATAACTTTATTTTATTAAGTTGATGAAATTAGTATTTTAATATTAAATTTTAATATTAAAATACGTAAAATAAAGTAATTAATTAATACTTAATTTTAATATAAGCAATATTAAAATGCTTAATATTTCTCTTGCCAGAGAAATATTAAGAAACGTGCATCTTGAATTGAGAGGTTCAATTACGGCAGTGAAAGATTTACAAAATTTTAATTTTATATTTTTAAAGAAGTACTTTAGAGATAAATGGGCTACCTTTTGGAATACAAAATAAGTTTACTCAAACCCGCAGAACAAATACTCATTCCGAATGTTTAACTATATTCTGCAACAATGCTAGGGACTTGGGTACCTAGCTCATGCAGTTACGTTAGCACATCAAGACCTTAATTAAGTAGATGGAGGAGTTTACGGCCTGGAGGCATTTGAAGTTTCACCAGAGTGTAGTGTATCCTGTGCACCATTCCTGCCAACCAGTCTGGCTATATTACGAGGGGTAGCAATAGTACTCTATCCTTTTGAGATGTATTTCATTGCCTCAATACTTGAACTGAATCTGGCCATGTTATTGCCTGCTGCCTAGATAACATAATGCGAGTGACCTTCAGCCCAATAAGGCTCGCTATACACTGAAGTGCACACTCCCAGGCTAGCCTAGCTTCGCTGTACAATGGAAACCACATAATCTTGCCATACACTGCCAGCCACCTACCTATCCTTGCTATACACTACCGCCCACCCGACTACCCACCTCGAACATCAATATCACAAACTTGTATAGAGGTCAGTGAGGCGCCTGACGTAACTCCCGCAGTAGCAAAAAACCAAGCCTTTAGGACAAGTTGGCGTGGTTTGATCAGTCATGACTTTTCACTATGCTAGTTATATTTTACGTGAGGAGTTGGCATAATATACACGTACATGTATATGTAACTTTAGTCCTAAAGTGTAGCTAAAGTTCCACCGTTAGGTCAGGTGAAATTTAGTGTTTTCTTAAATGGAACGCAAATTGATTAATGAATGGTTGGAGATTGCAGGCACATCAACTGCGTGGAACGTTACTTCTGTAGTGAAGTTTTTGGCGCGAGTTAATTA